CCCGGTTTTTTTTTTTTAAAACCGGGGGGGGGGGGGGGGGGGCGGGGGGGGTGGTACCTCCGCTGGTCTTTCCCCTGCGGAGCCGTGCAGCAGCCCGGCAAGGAGCGCGTGGGGGAAACTCCGGGACCCACGCACAGGGCGGGTGAGACCCAGCTCTTCAAGGTAAGACTTCGAGGAAATGCGCCTGCAAGTAACCATGGCCTCGGAGTTGGATACCCGCACGCACCTCTCTCAGAGTGGTTCCGATGCGGGTTTCCGAGGCCAGAGGCTGCTAGCGCTCTGGAACTAGCTTTGCACCTCCTTCTCCCTGGGTTCTCATCCAGACTGTGACACCCCTCTGTGAACCAAAGCTAGGGGTGTTCCTCCTCCTACCTACAAGCAGCAGAACACAGCCCCCCACTCCCTTTGAGTCTGCTCTCTTCCCTAAGCCTCAGGCCAGCGGGCGGCCCTCTCTGTCCTTGTACAGTCTCCAGGCTGATGGACCAATCCCACCAGCTCAGCCAGAGAAATAATACAGCTCTACTCTCCAACACCCTGATGGAGCCTGACCCCCTCCCGTCCACACAAGTTGGGCTGCCAGACCCCCTATCCCTGACCTGGGGGCCACCAACATGGCCCAGGGGTTTCTCAGCTCCTCTCAGGGAAACATCCCAGAATTAGCTCAGAAATGGAGATGGGGCTTTAGAAGGAAGGAGTTGGCCAGGGAAGATTGGAATTGGGTTAATGCTGAAGTGGACCCTCAGCCAGATAGGAGGTAAGCAGTAAGATCCCCTAGCTCTGCCATCTCTCTGAAGAATAACATGAAGTTTTTCTTCAAAGGATTTTTTTATTCTCATCCATAGCCCATTTGTGACCATCTTTCCCACCCCATTCAGAGAAGAAAATTTGGAAGCAAGATGGAGGGGAGTGGGTAGCCTGACGGGGGCTGTTCTGCTCTACCCACTGGATTACAGGACCTCCCATAGAGGGAGGGAGTGACTAGGGTGATGATATCACCACTATCTGGCATTTCAACTTTTGAGCAGCTCTGAGCTGACAGTTCCCTGCACAGATGCTGGGAGGCCTAATCCCTACACGTCCTTGGGTCTCCTTGAGAAGGAGTGTTCTTAACCAGCTGTGAGCCCTGCCTGCCCTGGTATGCCAGGCACATGGAGATACTTCCATTTAACTCACTTCTGTGGGCTTCTGTGTCCAGCAGGGAGCTAGTCTGCCCTACCCTAACTTTAGAAAGTCAGCCCAAACAGGCTTCCCAGTGACCCGTGGTAGGGGCATTCCCTTCTTGAAGAACCCTCTTCTGGACACCGAAGTCTTGGTCATGTCCTCACTTTGGGCCCCCATGGCCCATGAGCTCCTGTCAACCTGAGCACTTATTATACAGTGCACTCTGTGTCCCCTTCAGGACTGAGCTCCCCGAGGATAGGATGGTTCCGACTCATCTCAGGGACCTCAGCACTAACACAAGGGTGGACAGAGAGCAGATCAATAAATGTCAACTCTATGCATGAGTAGAGGGACCCTGGAAGTTAGCTAATGCCATTGAAGGGGATCCTCGAAGGAGACAGAGGATATGATCAAGGTTCTGCTGCCACAGGTTGACCAAGGGTCAGGGCCCTTTAACTCCTCCTCCTCTAGCACCTCACCTACCCTCAGTTTGGTCAGCACCACCCATCCAGGACCACCCTTGGGTACAGAAATGACCACTAGATAGAATAGGGACGCAGTAACCCCTGATGAAACCTGGCCTCTCCTTGCCTCGGTGTGGAAACCCTAACAGAGGACAGCAGTGGCACGCCAGCAGTCTGGGAACAGGGAAGGAGGTCTTACCCTGATGGGCTGTAAGTTGTGGGGAACTAGACTTATCTACATTCAGGAAAGAGGAGAAAACTCAAGACAGAAAGAAGTGGGTACTAAAGCAGGCCTCACCCTATGAGAGATTGGAGAAGGGGGACCTTGCTGAATTTGAGGTACCTAGGGAGGCTTCCTAGAAGAAGAGAGAGACGAATTTGGAGAGAGACGTGTATCCAGCACTTCATTTGTTAAACTACATGAAATTGTGTGGGCCAAATATGGCCACATTTTTATAATTTTTCATGGCTCTACCTAACATTCTTTTTAAAAAAAAAATTCCTTACTGTTGAAAGTGTTACATATGTCCCCTTTTTCCCTCCATTGACCCCCTCCAGCCTGCCTCCACTACCCACCCACCCACCGCCCCAGGCCTTCAGCACCCTATTGTCTGTGTCCATGGGTTATGCTTATATACATACAAGGTTTTGGCTGATTAACTCCCACCCACCCACCATCCCCCACCTTCCCTCTGAGATTCTACACTCTGTTCCATGCTTCCATGTCTCTGGATCCACTCTGTTCATCAGTTTATTTTGTTAGATTCCACAAATGAGTGTGATCATGTGATATTTGTTTCTCTGACTGAATTATTTCACTTAGCATGATACTCTCTAGGTCCCTCCATGCTATCTCAAAGGGTAAGAGATTCTTTCTTTTTTACTGCTGCATAGTATTTCATGCTATAAATGTACCACAGTTTTTTAATCCACTCATCTACTGATGGGCACTTGGGCTATTTCCAGGTCTTAGCTATTGTAAATTGTGCTGCAACGAAGATAGGGTGCATACATTCTTTCTGATTGGTGTTTCTGGTTTCTTAGGATATATTCCTAGAAGTGGGATCACTGGGTCAAATGGCAGTTCGATATTTAATTTTTTGAGGAAACTGCATACTGTTTTCCATAGTGGCTGCACCAGTCTGCATTCCCACCAGCAGTCTACCAGGCTTCCCTTTCTCCACATCCTCACCTGCACTTGTCTTTTGTTGATTTGTTGATGGTAGCCATTCTGACAATGGTACCTCATTGTCATTTTGATTTGCATCTCTCAGATGATTAGTGACTTTGAGCATTTTTTCATATGTCTTTTGTCCTTCTGTATGTCCTCTTTGGAGAAGTGTCTGTTTAGGTCCTTTTACCCATTTTTTAATTGGATTGTTTGTCTTCCTTTTGTTAAGTTGTATGAGTTCCTTATATATTTTGGAGATTAACCCTTTATCAGATGTATCATTGCCAAATATGTTCTCCCACACAGTGGGCTCTCATTTCATTTTGTTGATGGTTTTTCTTTTATATATATATATTTTATTGATTTTTTACAGAGAGGAAGGGAGAGGGACAGAGAGCCAGAAACATCGATCAGCTGCCTCCTGCACACCCCCTACTGGGGATGTGCCCACAACCAAGGCACATGCCTCCAACTGGAACCGAACCTAGGACCCCTCAGTCCGCAGGCCGACACTCTATCCACTGAGCCAAACTGGTCAGGGCGTTGATGGCTTCTTTTGCTGTGCAGAAGCTTTTTATTTTGATGTAATCCCATTTGTTTATTTTCTTCTTAGTTTCCTTTGCCATAGGAGATGTATCTATAAACATATTGCTACAAGAGATGTCTGAGATTTTGCTGCCTATGATTTCTTCTAGGATTTTTATGGTTTCAAGACTTACATTTAAGTCTTTTATCCATTTTGAGTCTGTTTTTGTGTATGGTGTGAGTTGGTTTTTTGCATGTATCTGTCCAGTTTTCCCAACACCATTTATTGAAGAGGCTGTCTTGACTCCATTGTATGCTCTTGCCTCCTTTGTCAAATATTAATTGAGCATAATGGCTTGGGTCAATTTCTGGGGTCTCTGTTCTGTTCCATTGATCTATATGCCTGTTCTTGTACCACTACCAGGCTGTTTTGGTTATGGTGACTTTGTAGTATAACTTGAAATCTAGTATTGTGATTCCTCCAACTTTGTTTTTCTTTCTCAAGATTGCTGCAGCTGTTTGGGGTCTTCTTTTATTCCAATATAAATTTTTGGAGTATTTGTTCTAGCTGTGTGAAATATGCCGTTTGTATTTTTAATAGGGATTGCATTGAATCTGTAGATTGCCTTGGGTAATATGGACATTTTAATGATGTTGATTCTACCAATCCATGAATACAATATATTCAATACAATATATTCTTCCACTTGTTTATATCTTCTATTTCTTTTTTCAATGTCCTGTAGTTTTCCGTGTATAGGTCTTTTGCCTCCTTGGTAAAGTTTATTCCTAATTATCTTACTTTTTCTGTTGCAATGGTAAATGGGATTGTTCATTTAGTTTCTTCTTCTGAGAATTCATTATTGGTGTATAAAAAAGCCATCGATTTTTGGGTGTTGATTTTGTATCTTGCTACATTGCCAAATTCATTTATTAAATCTAGTAGTTTTTTGGTGGAGTCTTTAGGGTTTTCTATGTACAATATCAGGTCATCTGTGAATAATAAGAGGTGTACTTCCTCTTTTCCAATTTGGATGCCTTTTATTTTTTCTTCTTGTCTGATCACTGTGGCTAGGACTTCCAGTACTATGTTGAATAAGAGTGCTGAAAGCAGACATCCCTGTCTTGTTCCTGTTCTTAGGGGAAATGGTTTTAGTTTTTGCCCATTGAGTATGATGTTGGCTATAGGTTGGTCATCTATGGCCAATATCAGGTTGAGATATGCTCCCTCTATTCCGACTTTGCTGAGAGTTTTTATCAAAAATGGGTGTTGGATTTTGTCAAATGCTTTTTCTGCATCTATTGATATCATCATGTGATTTTTGTCTTTCAATTTGTTTATGTGATGTACCACATTTATTGATTTGTGAATATTATACCAGCCTTTCATCCCTGGAATAAATCCCACTTGGTCATGGTGTATGATCTTTTTAATATATTGCTGGATGCTATTTATTAATATTTTGTTGAGGATTTTAGAATCTATGCACAGGGATATTGGCCTGTAATTCTCTTTCTTTGTAGTGTCTTTATCAGATTTTTGGAATTAGGATAATGCTGGCCTCATAAAAAGAGTTTGGAAGTGTTCCTTTCTCTTGGATTTTCTGAAATAGTTTGAGGAGTATAGGTGTTAGTTCTTCTTTGAGTGTTTGATAAAACTCCCCTGGGAAGCCGTCCGGACTGGGCTTTTGTTTGCTGGGAAATTTTTGATTACTGCTTCTATTTCATCAGTTGTTATTGGCCTATTCAGGTTTTCTGATTCCTCCTGATTCAGTTTTGGGAAATTGTATTTTTCTAGGAATTTGTCCATTTCATTCACATTGTCCAGCTTGGTGGCATGTAGTTGTTCATAGTATTTTCTTATAATCTTTTGTATTTCTGTGATGTCATCGGTAACGTCTCCACTTTCCTTTCTGTCAACCTAACATTCTTACTCCCATTTGCAAGCAAGAGCACCAAAGCATGGAGAGATTAAGTAACTTGCCAAATGTCCCACAGCAAGAAAATGATGGAGCTGGAACTTCATCCAAAGACTCTTCAGGCCAGGCTGACTCACCCAGGTGGGATGGGAGTAGGCACTGGTGAGGGAAGGAGAGGTGGTTCAGAGTCTGGCATGGCGAAAGCAGAAAGAAGGTAGAGAATGGAGCCACCCTATTCTGTGTTTTCCCCATTGCTCCACGCAGGTCTCATGTCCTCTCCTTTCTAGTGCTGCTGAAAAGCCTGGTGTCCGGTAACATAATAGACAGGACATGGGGACCCCAGCAAAGGGAAGGCCCTGCCTCTGGACTGAAATAGGGTGAAGACCTGCGGCTCTCAGCTTTGGTGGGGAACTGAGTACCTCCAGGAGACAGAGGTGCTTCCTGCAGAGCTGCAAAGGGTCTGCATATTCTTGGAATGCAAACCCAGAAAAGATCTGGATCTAAGAGAGAAGTGCTGGGGAGGATGGACTTTCTTCTCTGGAAGCGAGATTCAGAAGACCTGAAATTCTAGAAATATTTTTGCTGTGGGCCAAGGGCATTGTTCTTGCTTAAAGATGCAGCTCTGTGGTATAGGGCAGTGGCTCCCACACCATGTAATGCCAAGGTTTGGACTAGTTCTCCTTGAAATTTAACAAGGGAGAAGAACAATGTAGGATATTTTAGGGTAAGATTGTCAACTGTCCTTTCTTAGAAGGCTGTCTTTATTTTAGCATTATAACCTTGCTGCATTTTCTGTGTTAAAGCACCTTTTCATGAAGTCATAATGCTAGGAGATGGCATTCTTTAGACCCTTGGCTAAATAAGAAGTTTGCGTAGGGTTCTGTGTTTGTTCCCCAAAATGATTTACTTATTTACTTGAGAGAGAGAGAGAGAGAGAGAGAGAGAGGCATTGATATGTTGTCCCACTTATTTATGCATTCATTGGTTGTTTCTTGTATGTGTCCTGACCGGGGATTTTCAGGTGTATCCCAAAAACCATTTTTGAGATGTTATTGGTCTGTGAATTCCAAAAGTTTGGGAGCCCCTGTTGTAAACAAT